GGATTGTGAAACTTCTCGAAGAAGGTAACTCTTCACACATGGTTGCTAAAGATGTAGGCTGTATCCAAGATATGGACCAAATACAAACAGCATGGAATGGTTGTTAAAGCCAAGCGTACTGGGAGACCAAGAAAGACATCAAAGCATCAAGACAAATAACTTTAGGCCATTTGTCTTGAAAACYGAAAAAGTACAACTAAACAGATGAAGCATCAATGGGAGGAAGCTGGAGCCAATGTATGTGACCGAACCGTAACAAATCGCCCAAAGGAAATGGGATTTCAATATAGGAAAGCTAAAAGAAAACCATCACTGACACCTAAAAATAAAAGAACAAGACTGCAATGGGCAAAGAAGAGGCAGTCATGGACTGTGGATGACTGGATGAAAGTTATCTTCAGTGATGAGTCAAGAATCTGCATTGGACAAGGTGATGATGCTGGGACTTTTGTTTGGTGCCGTTCCAGTGAGATTTATGAAGAGGACTGCCTGAAGAAAACAACCAAATTTCCACAGTCCTTGATATGGGGCTGCATCTCAGGCAAAGGCACTGGAGAGGTGACTGTGGTTAAATCTTCTATCAATGCATAAGTTTACATTGACATTTTGGACAGTTTTCTCATCCCTTCAATTGAACAGATGATTGGAGGTGATGAAATAATTTTCCAAGATGACAATGCATCGTGCCATAGGGCAAAAACAGTGAAGGCATTCCTTGGAGAAAGACACATTCAGTCGATGTCATGGCCTGTAAATAGTCCAGATCTCAACCCAAATGAAAATCTGTGGTGGAAATTGAAATGAATGGTCCACAAGAAGGCTCCGACCTGCAAAGCTGATCTGGCAACTGCTATCAAAGAGAGTTGGCACCAAACTGATGAAGAATACTGTTTGTCACTCATCAAGTCCATGCCTCAGAGACTGCAAACTGTTATAAAAGCCAAAGGTGGTGCAACTGAATACTAGTGATGTATTTTGAATGGTCTTTTGTTTGTCTGTTTTTCATGATTCCATGCTTTTTTCCTCAGAATTGAGTGATTCCATTTTTTTTCCCTGTGCTTGGTCAATAAAAGTAACATTCACTGACTTCCACAATGTTTTCTGTTCCTTTCTTTGAGTGTTCCTGAAGTTGCACTTTGGAATGACCTTATTATTGTATCATGTTTTTGATCTGTTTGTTTTACAGAATGAAATGTCTGAACGAGCGCTCATCCAAGACTGGTGATTCCATTTTTCCAGGTTGAGAGATATCTCCATCACAAACTGACAGCTAACAGATCAGGCCACATATTTGTTTAAAACTTTGGCGTACAAGGCAGCGGGTCATATGTATTCCTTTGAGGAAGACTACATTCATTTAGCTCTGCTTCCACAGATCCAGCTTTAACTTAGCTGCCTATACTACATACATCTCCAGTGCTGTATAATCAGTAACACTGCCTACACACCCAACACTCAAATCAACCATTTTTCTTCGTTTTTCAGTCTCATAGCACTGATGAGGGCGAGCATGATTAATCTATTGTTTCCACCCTCTAACAGAAAGCCGCCAGTCATCAGGAGAGCAGCGCAACAACTATGTGAGTGAGTGGAAATCAAAGCAATCCTCGTCAGACTGGTCAACTGAAGTCTTCCTCACCTGCACAGCTGTCGTCACACCATCTTTTTCTCCTTCCATCCCCTCCCCTATAGTTTGGTTTCTGTCTTTCTGATGACCACAACGGTAAAGCAAGCAGAGACAAAAGAGCTTGAATACATTTTGGGTTTGGCCACGCGGTGATAGCGGTAATTTCCTCCTCAATGGGTCACTTCATTACAATTACCCTGTAGTTATCCAGGCAAACAAAGAGGCCTGGTGCGGGGCAGGAGAGGCTGCGGGCAACCGATGGGTAGATGGAAGGAGACAGAGGAGATRTTGTAGATAAATTAGGATGGGTATGGGGCGAGTGGAGACAGAGGAAGGAAATCACAGTGCAATAAGAGCCCCCTCGTTAGGGCCTGTCTTTATCACTGCACCGCTCCTATGAGATGTGGCAGATGAGMGGAGGGAACAGAAGGCCAGGAGGAGAGCAGAGCTCAGATTAGGATCCTTATTGCTACGATAATCACTGTTTGTCATCCGCGGCGCACGTTTCACACCTGTGGTAAATGCAGATGGGTTACTTAGTAGCGCTGGTGTCGTGTGCATGTGCATGGGGGGGGGGGAGAAAAACAGTTTTGTGTGTGTGTGTGTGTGTGTGTGTGTGTGTGTGTGTGTGTGGTTTGGAGACACATCGCTGCAGGAAATAATAAATAATAAAATGTCAACAGTTGATGATGTA